GCAATTCCAACACCTAGCTCCGCAGCCATTCGTTTGATCCCTTCTGAAACGTCCTTAATGCAAGGCAAAAAATGCCATATCCTTAGTGGTATCGTTGTTAGGGTCCTTTTGGGGGCGACCCCACAGACAGCGATTTATAAATGCCTGCGAATAACCATTCGGCATAAATTGGTCTCACGAGCTCTTTCCTCCGATTTGCTGCAATGAGGCCGGATCCGTTTGAAGAGCGTCTTCACACAGCCTCATTTGTGAGCCACCGGATGGTTGCTGTGAAACCTGAGAAGCTGTGTGGCGTTCGTAGCCTTCCTGTAAACCGTCGTTTCAGTTTCACCGTCGAGGTTTCGTCTGACAAGCATAGCCAGGGAGGACAACTGCTGTTCCTGTTCTTTTTCCCTCGTGAATTTTATATCAGGGAAGACTGCGTTGAGCAGGCCGTGGAAATGTTGCAGCATGTCCTTCTTTACGATGAAAAACGTGCCGACTACGTAACGACGCCAAAATACTGGCTCCTATTGGATAAAAGCAATCTTTTTTAACACCTGTAGAACCAGTTCTGCTACCAAACTGGAGAATGATGAGCCCATTGGAGTTTCCTTGATTTGTTCATAGGTCTCTCCAGCAAAGGTGAAGAAAGTTTGTTGGCAGAATTCAAACAGCCTCATGAGGTGTTCGATTTTGAGTGCATTCTGAGTGTCCTCGTACGCCTCTTTAGGTCCCTTGCGCGGGCCAAGTTTAGGGGAATGGACGTGAATAACGACGTCACGTCAAAGGAGACCATGATTTCACCCGACTGAATCCTTCGACTTCAGAGGTCTATGAGGAGGGGGAGGCTGATCGAACTGAGGTAGTCAAATTGCTCTAGAGGAACTTCAGTTTTGAGTACATCCATTTTGTTAAATGATAGGTAGGACTGCCTTTTGGCAACAACTAGCCGCAGTGGGACATTCAGTTTATGAGTTTTTGGCAGGCCAAAGCAGGTTTCTTTTATTTGGCGTCATTCATTCTCCGTGATAACATTTTCTGTGCCGGTATCCTCTAAGCAGCTTATTTAGCCGATCTACCATTGCTTTGGCACATACATTCTGTGCTGGTCTGTAAAATTCTCTCTCATCAAGAAGGGTTTTAGTCTTCTCGACTCATCACGACGGTTGATCGTCCCTTGTCAGCAGGTTGAATGATACTTTGCCATCCCTCCCCAGTTTCATCATAGCCTCATAGACTTACTCTGCAAAATACATTTGATTGGTCCGTGGGTCATCGGCGATGAAGTAACACGTTGAGGGACGGAGCGTTTCTTATCGTCGGTTGTTTAAGTTCTCACAAGCATAACTTTCAGGGCTTCAATGAAGTCGACAGGATCGGCATCCACAGTGTAGATACAATTTTCATGCCGTAGCGCTCATAATTGCTGCTCTGTCAGCTGCTTAAACGCGAGGTTATGGATCAACTTTGAGCTTTCCGTGTCTCCTGGTTTTGACTTAGACAATTTCCGCTCCCAAACCCTCTCTCTTCTCGGCTTGCCTGTGATGCACCAAAGCGGAGATCGTCTTCCCAGTATTCGCGTCGATAGAATCTCCAAGAACGGGGGCACACTCCTCTCTATTCTCTATTCCACAAATGCCGGTGGCAATCGCCGATCAGAACTCCCGTCATCTATCTGACGAACCGTCTCACAACGTCTCTGCCCATAGCCATGTTGACGGAAGCCTTACATCTTGGGCAGCATGGCGTCAGTTCGTCTTGGCGACACCTGTGCAGAAAACATAACTGTTTATATGTTGCTGCCCCTCATGTGGGGAATACCTCTCAGCTGCGAGCTGTCCGAAGCGCCTCGCGCCCAAACTTTCCAAGAATGGAGGCGAAAGTTTGAGCAGAAGCAAAGGAGGGGGCTGGTCGAGCATCGTAACGTTTCTGTATCCCTTGGGAGTGATCTATAGCACGTTTTAGTGTAATTCCATCCAAGAGGGTCGATTCTAAGTTCCAGTTCATCTCAACCATCTAGGTGTTTCCCCAGCCTACAAAATGCACCCTGAATATTATGAAATTTATTTTCGATTGGCTTTGGTAAAAATATGAGGCTAATACTGGACAGAAGGAATTGAGCCCTTATTCTCGACGATTCTATCATCGCGGACCTTTGAAAGACTATCTCTGCACTGGCACATCAAAAACACGCTAAGAATAGGGCAATTTTGGGACAGAAACTGGTCAAAACTAACCGACACAGGGCGAAATAGAACGTTGCCCATAACTTCTCATCTAATCAGTTAACAGAACAGCAACTACGAATGCTACGACATGAACCTTCTTTCATCGCCACAGCTGTCGGTGACGTCGACTTCATTGCAGCAGTGGAGGTGATTTTTGTGCGAATCAAAACAACCGACGACAAGAAACCCTCCTTCTGGAAACGTGCCTCTTCCCTACTGATGGCATGCAGAGCAACTTACCGTATTCCTCAGAGTCCATCTAAAGCAATGAATGAACCGAGGAGTAATGGAGAAGTTGTTACTCTGCCTATAATAAATGACGATAAACTGTCGTAGTGAACCGAGAAGACTGCGACTTGAAAGCCAAAGTTCTTAATGGTGACAGACAATTTTGCAGAACCGTACAGAACTCACACCGTTACGTAGCAGATCGGTTGAATAAACTACTTAGAGAATTCCGGCACAGAGATGTGACCAGAGAAAATGAATCGCGTCAAGTGGAACCAAACGAAACTGCTCTGATCCGAGTCTGTGGTGTTCAGAGGTCCACAGACCAAACTCTCCACAGCGGTCCCATCCATAACATGGTGAAGGGGATGTATTTGAAACAAGGCAACTACGTCGGAGAAACCGGAAGACAGCTCCGAACGAAAATGGCCGAACACGCTGTAGCGGTGCGGAGAAATGATGCCAGCACTCAAGTTGCGGCTCACTCGACGAGATCCGGCCGCACATTCAAATTCAACGAGGTCAAAATTCTCGCAAGAGGCGACAACCACGTGAGCCGCGAACTGTTTGATTCATGGTCCACTGGCCCCAGTCTATTAACAAGTGAAACGACCTTCCCCTTCCATACTCAATGCTGAGACTTTGCCTAGGCGGAGCAATTAGCCACTCGGGAAGCGCACAGGTGAAATCTGTCCCCAACGCCGGGGTCGGTGGGTCAGATGGCCGAGCCATCACCACACCAATATCCAACACCCTTGATGAAAGTACAGCAATTAACGACGCGAATGTCGGCCATCAAACAGTCATCACACCCAGTGCAACAATCTCTGTTAAAGGGAACTTTCATAGACGCGCGTGGCATGGCGACTGCATCCTATAAATTCTGCATCCCTTGTGCATGAACTACCTGTATCTGCTTTGTCTCTGATGATGGGTTCGAGCAGAAATCCGAAATGTCAGGCGAATAAAGCTCTTGTTCCAGCGATAGTGCCTCCTTCTTTACGAAATCATGGTCCCTTTTGACGTAACGTCATTATTCACATCTATATTCTCGAATTCAAAGCACGAAGTCTTGCACAATAACTTTGAAGGACACGACCATCCCGAGAGAATGTTCGAATTTTTACGCAACATACTTCATGTTTGCTAGAGAAACTTATCAACAGATAAGAGCGATGCGAAATGACTCCCCAACCTCCGGTTTAATGGCAGAACCAGATCTAAAAAGTCTAAGAAGGACTGCCTTCATGCAGCGTGAACGGGTCTCTCGGCCCCGTTACATCGGCGACCCTCAGGAAGAATATGCTGCAGAGTTCCTGAAACCTGCTTCATGCAATCTTCTCAGAGGTGGAAAAGGAAGGAGCTCTTTGTTGGGAGTGTCTACACTCCCACAAACAGGAGCCAGCCAATCGCTTGAGGTCCCACGAACGAGATAGTCCAGGCGTTCCTGCTTTCCTACAGGACAACACCGAACCCGGCGTCCCCTGGTGGTGTTTCGATAAGATGTGGTTTGGTGGCCCCACCTGATGGACAGAATACTGTTGAGGTTGGGGCTAGGGTTAGTGGATTATGGTTAGGGGTTAGGGGTCAGAGTTAGGGGTTAGGATTTAGGGTCAGGGGTTACAGTCAGGGGTTAGGGTTAGGGGTTAGCGCGGCTATTTCTCAACCATTCGAAGCACAATCGCGCGTTCCCAATAGCTTTTATTTTGCATACGACTACTTGACCTCGTCGTCTGTGCGTTCCCCGACCCCACCTGCAAAAACCCCTATTACCACCGGTCCCGTATTAGAGGTGACTGGGGTTTCTTTACTTCAGGTTGGGCTGCATAACCACATCCGACCACGCACAGACAACTTTGCCTGTCTCTCGCAATTAGCTTTCCGTCGGAACAGCTGTCTTCGTTCGTGATTATCAAACTGGGTTCCCTGACTGGATTGAGGCAACCGTAGTAGCGCACAGTGGCAGTAGGTTGTTTGATGTCGACGTTGATGATGAAATCTGGGTTCGTCACCACAACCAGATCCGACGGCGACACTGCAGTAACACAACCGGGCTCGAGTCCGTGCCGTCAATTCCTTTTGACATCTTACTGGATACTTTCACCATTCCGGGAGATCGGTCGGTTCCTGAATCCACTGTTGCGCCCTCCTCGGGCGTACCTCCTTTGGTATTAGTCACTGCCCCCTGTCTCCAGACAACAAACCACGACTAAGACGCCGGACCAACCGCGTGCGCCGACCAACACTGCCGATGCAGGTCAATCCACGCCAAAAGCGGTACTGACCTACTTGGAGGGGCGGTGTTGGGAGTCCCTACACTCCCAAAACAAGTGCCAGCCAATCACTGGAGACCACATGCGTTTTCTCTACAGCACTGTCAGCTTAATCGTGGCACCTCTCCATGGGCTGCTCCCCTCGAGCCTGATCGAGCAGTGTATTCAAATTATCGGCCAGTTCATCTAGAATGTTCTTTCCGAAGTGCACTGCGCCGAATGCACGCGAACCTCAGTAGGATGTTATAAATACGCATTACATTCCCAGTTACACTTGACTTTCCGTACCCTAATACACTTTTCCGTAGCCGTTCGTGTTCTCCTTCTCTGTCGCTTTGCTTTTGGGGACAAGGATCGAGTACGCATATGCTCCACGTGAAGTCAAGTACCAGGCCGAGTCGTAACACACCTGCTGCCCTTCTTTGATGTGTTCGTCAGGCGAACTCCTAACGGGGACATTGAGATGATGATTAACAAGAGGACATCGAGCACCACACAAAATCTCAGTTTTTACAGCGACACGACGACGATAGTTTGACCGCCGAGTTCGATGATGTCCACCGTGTGCTCCACAACAGGGTGAGGGCAGGGATAGTGACTTGTGCGTGAGTTCGTTTCCAGTAGCAGTAAACTTGCGCAGTATCTACCACACTCTCTTCTCCTCCCCAGCTGGACCCGGTGTCAAGACAGAGTCAAGAAGACCGAAGGCCGAAGAGGGTAAGTGTGACTAGCAGGGCGAATACCTACGCTCCCTGGCCCGCACTACTGACCAGGATTTTACATCACAACACCAGTTGGGGGGGGGGGAGAGCACAAATGCCAATTGGCGCTAAGTGGACCGACAGCTGGGCGTGCTACTACGCCCCAATGTTGACATTTGTTGTGGGTGCGCATTCCCAATAACGTCTGCCGGACTGCAATCTAGCCCCCGTGTTGGTCCAGCGTATCTATCGCATAGCCCATACTAGGACTCGAATTTTACAGCAACCATCCAGTGGTTCATAAACGATGCTATGTGAAGAAGTAAGGCTTACCGATAGTTGATTTAAGCCTGAACCTGCCTTATGAACTCAGTCAATCGATATATCGATTCGGAACCGGAGTAACGAGCTCTGCGCAGCCGCGTCCAGACCTGCGGCACAGGTCGTTTATTGATTAATGGTCCTCAGGTGTTCAGTTGCTGCTGTTATCTCTTACGCTACGCTCCTGTACGAGTTCGACATCCCAGGAAAACAAACAAATGGCTCCGATGCTCTATCAGTCTCCAACCTCCTTATCCATACATATAAGTATAGATGGACCAGACAGTGATCTAGATGTTAAATCTGAGGAAATCGCTCCCTCGGACTAAGAACTCACTAACTGGCATCTGAAAATAAGCCACAAATCGGCTTTCGAGCTTTACTTCTGTTTTGTTCGGCAAAGTTCTTAAAAGTCTTGTTTGCGAAACATTTTTGAGGAATATGCTCAAAAAATCTGACTATTTTCTGCCCATAGTGCCGATTGTCACTAATTTCAGCCCCGATCGAGGTACAAAACGTAGTACTGACATTCCCACTTCTGCTATTAATCCTGTAGTTTTTTGACGAAGGCTAGAGTCAGTTCAGTTCATTTTCATAAAGGGAAAGGTAGGCTAACACCCTTGAACTCCCTATTGGTTAAAATAACGTCAAAAAAAACAACACGTAAGGCAAGTGTCAAAGAAGAGTAGGTAATTTATTACATACAACAGGCATGTAGTACTTGTATGAATGTGTTAAGTCTCCAAGCCCTAGTAATTTCAAACGCCTTCAAAAGGAGCTAACTATATGATTCCACGCATGAAATTAAATATGTTATTTGTTATTAAATGAGTGGAGGATGGTCGCTTTGGGATCCAGATTACAGCCTCCGAGGTCTTCCTGGCTTGGCATTTCCAATTTAAAAATCGGCGCCAAAGTAGGAAACATCACAGCTCCTAACGGACCTACAACGGATGAAACAGCACCGATAGTTGCGATGTTGTTTTCCCTCCACATACTCGCATTTGGTTTGTCTACGTAAACTGTAAGATCGCCCGGCCTGATTTCCCGGGCAGCTGCTGAGTTATTTTACCCCCACCAAAGTGAATCGCTGCATACCAATGTTGACGCCTGCTGGCCAATCAGATTTCGCCGCTGTCTTTTTTCGCACGTAGCCACGACACAGCTAGCCGCGCGCCCGCTGGCGAGAGAAAGCCAGCAGGCGAGCGAGCGAGCGCGCGTATGTGCACTCTCGATTCACTGCCGCCGCCGCTGCCGCCGAGTCGACTCTTTCGCCGAGGCGACACAGTAAACCCAGGTTTCCCACGCAATCGTAAATCACAGTCTTATCTCGATCTATCCGACGCCCACAGCGATACCAACTGGGCTGCCGAGGCAGAAAAAGGGAGGCCGGGGGAGGGGGAAGGCCCTTCTTGCGCGAATAGTGATGACCTTGTGAGATACGGACCTAGGTTGGTTCAGATTGGCTAGTTTGCTGCACAGCGCGGAAACCAGTAAGTAAACTGACCTTGTTAGTAGAGATCGTTTGCTGAAAGAAGGGGGGGGGGTTCATAACTCACTAAAAATGTTAATTCTAATTCCTTGCAGATCATGGGCAACAGTGAGTTGACGCCAGGAGTATGTGCCCATTCTTGTTGAGCCTCTCCTTAACTAAGTCGTAACTTCGCCAATCGAATTATTGATTAAATTCACTCGCTTTACTCTGGCCCGACTTCCATCAGTCCAAGCAGCGCAGCCTTCTCCAGTAGCCGCAAATAACCTTAATTTCAGGAATATAGACAAAAATTAGCTCCAACTTACTTTTTAGATGGGAAGGTGGAGGCGAACTGGTCCCTCGAACCAGACCGCCCTCAGGGGCTATAAAAGTGATCAGTGATCGTCGGCAGAAACGGATAAGGGACGCCCAGGAAGCAGTTCAGAAGAGGGAAATGCGATCGCTGGAACAGGAGGTTTATTGACCTGACGTTTCGGACTCTCGCTCGAACCCGTCATCAAAGACAACCACAGGTACAAGGAGCGCAGTATTTATAGGACTCAGTCGCCCGACAATCACTTGCATACAATAATTGGCGGTGCGTTCGTTCGTCGCTGGAAATCCTCTTTGCGATGATCGCTTGTTGGTCAGCACGTGAGTCGTTAATCGCCGTGCTTTCATCACCGCTGTTGATTCTTGGCGCGATGATTACTCGGAAATTTAGCCCACCGTCACACGAAATGTTGATCGGCCGTGTCCTCCCCGCGTGGCCAACTATTTTGCTCAGGCAAAATGACAACACAGAATACGGAGGCGGGAGGTTATTGCGCTTGTTAATGCATCGCTGAGTGATAACTGTCTACATCCTTGACTGAAAACGATGCAGTGGGATCCCAGAGCGTGGTAGGTGGAAGTCAGATCTGTCACCTCGGGAGATATGACTTTTCTATTGCAGATACAAATCCACTTTGTCGCGGGAACGTTAAGTCGAATCAGGCATCCCCGCCAAGAGTGTTGGGAGCGACTTGGGACGGCGGATCGCCCTTTCTCCCCTCCACTCCCTGTTAACGCAGTCGCGCAGTGAGCCTCCCTGCGACCTTACCCACGTAATAACGTGTGCAGTTGCGTCGCAGTATCTGATGAGTATAGTACCTACGTTCAAATGGCCTTTGTTTCACGTGACCCCCTCTCTCTCTCGCACCAGCTTCTGCTCGATGGATCCTACCAACGCCAAATCATTTGACTGTGTGCTCTCTTGCACACAAAACTTTTTTGGCACATCACATGGCGTGCCAAAACTGCTACTGGTCTTTTTGGCTTCTGCTTGCGATCTCCTGCAGAGCAGTGACAGTTTTCGGAGCGCTTTGCTGGTAGTTGTTTCCTGTGAATGCTGGACGCACTGTGTTCATGCTTTCTGACTGCTTCAAGTGATTTTGCTGATTTGGAGAAAGATTTGGAAACGGCTCCGCTAATTTGATTGCCTCAAGCGCTATTTTATTTCAGTTGCCATCAGACGCACTTTGGTGCTGTCCTCGATATGTCAAGAAGAGGCACTTGCGGCTTTTTCTACACTTTTCAGTCCCGTAGTCTCCTTATCCTCAGGGCAAGAAAGGCGTTATCAACGCTGATAGCTGGCTATCTGGTAATCCATCAGAGTTCCTTCGACCGACCCAACCATCCTGTCGAGGAGAGCAAATAGGTTCGCTAGTTTTCAGTCTTAATGCATGGTCTATGAACCAGGAAGACCGTTGCCCTGCCTAGGGGTTGTTTGGAATACTCACGAACTGTGAACACTTGGACGGCTTCCAGCGAGGCTTACCTGCGAAAAAGCCTGGTCCTCGGGTCGTTCCAATGAGTGGTCTCGGACCGTGCCACTGTTACGCCTTCAGGCATGACTGAGAGCTGGCCATATAAGTCGGTTACTACCGGCTGATTCACAGGATCACAACATATACATGGAATATGACGAACTAGTGTACCGGGCGGGTGAGTGTAGGCATTCTTCTTTGATTCGACGAATTACAGCAAAACACCAAACTGAAGCACCCCCACGCCCTGACGTGGTCTCCTACCGAGCCACACCAGGCAACTTCAAGTGTCTCGGGTGCAAATTCGAGTGTATAAATGTAAAAATGACGCTGTTACTAAGGACAGCCTAAATTCAGTCACCAGAAGGTTTTGGAGTCACTTCTCGGAAGCAGCCCCCTCTCGCATGCATCGTTGGCCTCGAAGACCCCTCTGATTTCAGTAGGCCAAACTTTTAGCGGCTGGTGTCGCTGCGAAGCCGGGATGTGCTTGAACTGCTTCTCGTAACGCTCGGTCCCCGTAACCACAGTTTCCAGAAGCTGCTCTCGATTCGCCTTCCAAAGTCTACGAAACTCAATCTGAATTAGCAAGTCACTGTACTTCCCAACTTTTACTAGTCAGACATTAGCTGCTCCAGTTTCCTCCAATGTAGGAGGAGAATAGTTCCAAGGTGACGGCAGCTGGATAACTCGATAAAACACGAGAATAGGTAGTCCCAGTATGATAGGTGGTTTTGCGCTACATTTCCCGCTTCTTTAGCTTGACAATAATCGTTGTCCTAACTTTAAACTTCTTGGAATTGATGTCTAGGGCCACCGGCTCCTGTCTCCTGTCAATCACCGTGGCATGTCAACCAACAATAAATGCGCCAGATGCGATGAACTATTCCACAGTTTTTCTTCAATCACGACAGTTTGTCTTTCCACCTCATCGTTCAACATCGGGTGGTCACCCCCTGGTTTGCATGTCGTCGCTACTTTGGGTGATGCGAGGAGGCGGTTGGCCGATCCCGGGATGCTTTCGGTGCATGTAGAAGTGACGATCGGATGAAGAAACCACAGGTGAATGGCAACTCCAAAATATACCCTAAAATTCAGTGCGACTGTAAACACCACTTATTATTCCTTGTTCGCATTGTTTAAAATTTCCTTCCTTTCCTGACTAAATGTAAACTTACCGGCGACGTTTTAATCAGTGTCCGTTATTTTTCGTAAATTGCTTTTTGTTTATTTTTTTAATCACTGCACTCACTTTCTTTGCCAAATGACAGCCAATTAAAATTTATCTACTGTCTGTGTCTTCTTGCTCTTCGTCCTGTGTTTTGCCCCACCCGTAAAGCCCCCTCTACCACCACTCAACGTATGACACGGTCCACAGACTAGTTCCAGTTGGTTGGGGGTCCTACACCCTATCGTTGCCTATGCAGCGCGCGCAGGAATTTCGCTCCCGTGCTATCATGTCTTTCCTCTCGCCTTTGCGTGCTCAGTTAACGGTGTTGCCATAGAATTCTGACGAGGCAGTCGATGAACAGGCTGGAAACGTTTTGGCACCAGCATATCCTACCGCGTGTGCTTGTTTCAAAAACAAAGCTTGTCATCCGTATTCTGCGTCAGTCGACTCTAGTTGACTCATTTCGGATCGACAGCCCTTTGAGGCGGTGCACCTACCAATAGCACCTTCCTCAAATACCGTGGAAACTCCGCCGATCGCTTCTAATACCTTTTTCCCCAGCTGGTTCGCGTGAGACGGGGCCGCAGAAGTGTTTTTGAGGTCATCCTCAAAATGCCGATCGGTGTGCGCGTATGCATACGCATCCCCTAGTTTGCTCTATCCTACCGACCTGAATCTTTTCATTCTGCAGTTGTGCTAAGGACAGTTTACAACGGCGAATAAGCTTGGAGTTTTTTCTTTTTGCTACTCGGGTCCTGATCGGTCCGCCCACGTCCGTTCACGCGTTCAGGTCACAGGAGTGGACAGAACTTAGCATAAACTTAGCTGCAGTCGACAAGCCTGGGTTCACGACTCAGTGGTCCAGCAATGAACTCAAACTTGTACTCCCGAATGCAAATCCCAGTTCCTTTCCATAAAGGGGGCAATAGACAAACCAGGCCATGTTTAGACTCCAGTACTAAATATACACGCGTATATGGGCGAGTAGGATGAGAAGAAACAATGTAGCCACGAGAGTGCAGCTCTATGTGGAAACTGTTATTGAAAGAGGCGTCAGTCTTACAGGAGTACTTTTGACGCACTAAAACAAAGCGCTTTTATGCCACTGCAAGGGACTCGTTTGCATGATCTGCTGCGACTTCGGATAGGACACTATGGCCGGGGGGGCGGGAAGACGGTTCTGGACACGTATGGCCGAACACACACCAGCGGTGAAGATGATTGGCACAGATCCCAGTCCCCCCCCGACTCATTCGGCAGCGAAGCTGGAATCCTAGCCAACGGGGGTGACAACATGGGGGACGAGCTACTCGACTCCTAACTCTCTGGCCTGCAGTACATCAGTAAAGGCAGTGATCTACTCCATCTCCCTTCCCTTTGTCCTCTTAGGGCTCTCCCTGTGCGGGGACATTATTAACGTGGACGGCGTGAATGTGTACGCTGCCTCGAGGGGCAATTCTATAATGCCAAACAGTCGGGCAATTATCATGCCAGTCGCCTTTGCCGGGGTTTGAGCCATTAATGGCTCAGGCATGGCCGGCCAAACAATTATTGCAGCAATTACGACAGCCCACGATGGGTGCCGGAGCTGTTGCCTCTCTGTGTCCGCTGATGTAGTCTCTGATGTAAATTAAAACCGTCAGACGAATAAAGTTCTTGTTGCGGTCTCTGAGTCCACCCCTATGCTCGTCGATGTGAAAACATAGGCAGCAGCTACTCAATTCTCGCCTATTCTGGAGTTCAAAAGACAACTTGGCAAAGTGATTAAAAAGAAAATGCGGGCAAGTAGAAGCTTTTTCCGTAGCTGGGGTTTGGGGGGAGGGTCTGGGTGGGTGAGGTGAAGAACAAAATTACCGTCAGTGTCAGGGGGGGAGAAGGGGATGGCGGTCACCGGGACGGGTATGGTGACCGCCATGGCATGGTGGCTTTGGACCATGGTAACTGTGGGGCCTGTACGAAGTTCTTTTGTGCGCATAGAATTGATTTGTATAGTCCGATTTCAGTCACCTCTGCTGTTGCCAACAGAGGCTGTCTAAGTGGTTTCGGATAGTTTGGCGGACCGTGTAAATCACTCGAAATGCCCGGCCGGTATTTACACAGTGATCTGTGTCTACAATGTGGGCAAGGATAGAGCTGTTGACGTTCTTCATTTGGCTCTTTCCAAACCGATGTTGACGACAGAAAAGAAGAAGCTTTTCATCAGGGTCCCATTTCAAGGGGACGCACCAAATGAACTTCTAAGAAGGAGCATAACTCAAGTTGTATCACGCACCCTTCCAGCAGCTGACGCCCGTGTACTCCTCACCACTAGTCCCAACCTATGAGGAGAGGGCAAGGGCAAACTGCCAGCCCAGACCACTTCTATGTGTATTTACTCCTCCATCTGCTCCTGTGGGCAGAATAGATTGGTCGCACGAGACGGCGTTTGTCCAAAAGAATAAGAGAACACATTCCAGCATGGTTAGCAAAGAGCCAAATAAAGACCGTCAGCGGCTCTATCCTTGTCCACATGGTAGGCACAGATCACTGTTTAGATGCCGGCCAAGCTTTCCGGGTGATTTACACGGTCCCGTCAAGCTATCCAAAACCACTTGGACAGCGTCTGCTGGAAACAGCAGAGACGGCTGCAATCAGGCTATACAAACCAGTTCTATGCGCACAAAAGAACTTCGTACAGGCCCCACAGTCCTCATGGGCCAAAGTCACCATGCCAGCCACTTGCGTATAATTACCCGTCCCAGTGCCCGCCATCTCCTTCTCCCCCCTGAAACTGACGGTAATTTTGTTTTTCACCTCACCCACCCAGACCCTCCCCCCAAACCCCGGCTACAGAAAAACTTCTACTTGCCCGCATTTTCTTTTTAATCACTTCGATAGCAGTATAGATGTATAGGCCTGATGAGAATTTACCGAAAGCTTACGTATGCTCGCCAAGTTGTCTTTTGAATTCTTCAGTGGGAATTTTCACAACTCTATTCTGGAGTTGTCATATCTGGGCTGACTAAACATTCCGTGGATATTTTCGTGTGGGAAGTGTAGCCAGTTTTACTCAGGACGAGTTTAACCACCACCCTCCCCCCTTGAATACAATGTCAGCAAATGAACACTACCCTGGTGCGAGAACGTAGATGGACCTCTCAGTACTGAGCCGAGCTATGCACAAAGGCGAACGTACACGATGTGACACACTCGAATTCACGTGCCATCCCCTGACGCCCACGCCAGCTACCTGGCTTTTAGGTTTGTGTGCGTAATTTGGGACGTACACATGACAAAAAGACCACCTAGAGGAATAAAATAACTCTCCAGTTTGAAATTGGATTTCAGTGTTTGTGGTTTGCCACAAGCTGAAGGAAAAGACGGGTACCTAAATGTCGCGTCCCGTCAAAATTCATGTGGGAGCTCTCCCGAAACGAAGTTCTGGGGCGATCTGCGACAACCAATAAAACCACTTTTTACCCATTGCTTGTTCTCTTCGTAGTTCTATGTCCACTAAGCGGTTACGTGACTGGCCCTTTCTCTCTGTCGTATTTAAATGGACACAAAATTCCCCATCCGACCTAGTCCTTTTTACCTTGGTGTGGCTACTTACAGCCAGGAAGTGGTTCAGAGGAAAGAGATGCGGTTGCTGAAGCGAAAATCTTACTATCCTGGAATTGCCTCCATCGATCGGGTTACGGGTTCCTTGTGCCTTGAGGCTCAATCTAGTGTCCTCAAAGGCAGTCGTGATCAGAGGTGGTTATGTAGCCCCACCTGAAGTAAATAAACCCCAGCCACCTGTAGTGCGGGGCCGGTGAAACGCACAGGCGACGAGGTCAAGCGACTGTTTGCAGAAGAAAAAACTATTGAGAATGCACAGTTGTACTGTGAGTAGGTGAGGAATAGTTGCCCTAAAGCCTAACCCTAACACCTAGCCTTAACCCCAACAGTATTGTGTCCATCAGGTGGAGCTACCTAACCACATTTTATCGCAGTCATATAGCGGCTATGGATAAATGCTGAGGTGAGTACCGCAAAAGACAAGGGAGACTGGAATGACAATTTCTGCCTTACTGGCTGCCATCAGCAGAAATGACCGTCGCAATTTCCCCTCTCTTCGTCGGTACTCCTCGCCGCGAGAATTATATACACCTGATGCATCGGATCCTCACTCGAATCCAATATTAGAGATTGCATCAGATCAGGGCGATGTTTGTACAAGTGCTGCAGTATTTATAGGGTGCACTTGTCATGAGACCACTATCACACTAATCGCGGGTGGTTGTACTTAATGCAAGAATTGTTTGGTAGTCCGCAACCGAGTCGACAATTGCTGCAATTTCTTCAAAAGAGTGGATTATTGGTGCGATAATGACTTGGCGATTTGGGTGGTATTGGCAACAGTCGTGAAGAAGGGGAAACGATCGCTGCCACCAATTGATCCCCGTCGATAACGACGAGGGTATCATCTACATACGTGGCCCAGAACTTCGGTCTATGGTGTTGGATGACCAGCGACTCCTACCGTTGCAGGACCGCCTCAGCGATGAGCCCCGAGATCGACGAACCCATTGGTGTTCCCATCGTCAAGGTCGGTGGGTCATATGGTGGAGCAGTCATCACACCAACATCAAACACCCGTGATTACATGTAGCGAGTAACGGCGCAAATGTCGGCCATTGAACAATGATCACCTCAGGTGCAACAATCGTCGATGAAGGGGGAAGCCGTGAATTGTTATGGGTATGCGGTAGCACGGCTGCTGCATTTTATAAATACTTCAGCCCTTTGTGCCTGAAGCACCCGTAGTTGTAATTGTCTCTGATTATGGGTTTGAGCAGGAATCCGAAACGCCAGGGGAATAAAGCTCATGTTTCAGTAATCGTTTCTCCGTCTTCACGACTGCTTCCTGGGACTCTTATTTCGCTTCTACTGGCAATTGGCAACAGTGTTAATTCCCGCGCTTTCTGTGTTTTTTTCGCTTTTCAGTCCATCAGTAAGCGTAGTGACAGCCCTCCCCTCCACCATACTTATTGCTGAGGCTTTGCCTGCGCAGAGCAATTGGTTTTCAGAAAGACTTAGCAGTAATATGTATCTCATAATGAAAAGGTACAATAGTCACACAACCAGACGACGTTAATCAGAAAAAAACGAGCGCTGAACGTGTTAATGCATTCTTTGCGTGTCTGGAAATTTGGTTCAAAGTTAGGCGGAAACATTTGTTCTATTACGAGAAACTCTAATGCAGATTTATGAGTGAATAAGGCAAAGTTTGTACATTTTTATACGGAGGGAACTACTCTTCCAGGATTTATGAGCTTGGAAAAAACCATCCAGACCAGCAGACAGTAATCCTCGGGCACGCCTTTAATCCCTTCGACGAAGGAATCATTAGCGGACTGGTTTGGCAACTCGTGCTGGAGGGGATGTCTCTCTGACGGTGCCTACTCACTCCAAGCTCCGTTATGAATAACTCGCAACGAAGTTCTGGGGCGATCTGTGACAACCAATAAAACCAATGTTTACCCATTGTTTGTTTTCTTCGTAGTTCTATGTTCACTAAGCGATTACGTGAATGGCCCTTTCTCCCTGTCGCATTTAAATGGACACAAAATTTCCCATCCGACCTAGTCCTTTTTACGTTTGTGTGGTTACTTACAGCCAGAAAGTTGACGCAATCACGGACTTCAGATGACTTTTGTTTGCCTTACCATCCCAACAGAATAGTAGTTCAAACTAAAATTAGGCCCATTCTTCAGTTTGGAATGAAGACAGTATCCGCCACTATGTATCCCTGTAGATGTGGCTGCAACGGCCCAGAAGAAAGCCTCCGACAAGACTTCGGGTGATTGTTTTTGCGTTTCTGTGGATGTGTGGGTTTTCTAATATCTCTTAGTCTGCCTTAACACATTAAGGCAGTTGGTTCTGTTTAAAAAAATAGACACACGACAAAACGGCAAAACCCCTCTCTTAAGGGCTTGACTGACATTTTACTACTCAGAAAACGACTCCACCTTACGTTTTGGGAGAGCTCCCACATGCATTTTGACGGGACGCGACATTTAGGTACCCGTCTTTTCCTTCAGCTTGTGGCAAACCACAAACACTGCAATCCAATTTCAAAATGGAGAGTTATTTTCTTCCTTTAGGTGGTCTTTTTGTCATGCGTACGTCCCAAATTACGCACACAAACTTAATAGCCACGTAGTTGGCGTGGGCGTCAGGAGATGGCACGTGAGTTCGAGTGTGTCACAGTGTACACGTTTGTCTTTGTGCATAGCTCGGCTCAGTAGTGAGAGGTCGATCTGCCGCACTGGGTACCCAATTTATTGAATTCCTCTCCCTACAGTACCTATGAGTTGCCAACTGTTGAGCTGGCATCCCCTGTAAAACCCACCCCAGTGCCTGCACTACCACCGCCGCGAGTAGGGGCAATTTACCCTTGTCGTACGTTGATTGGCCGACGTCCACCGTCGTGGGACGTACGCACGAGAAGGTCGCGCAGTTTTGTTCTCAAGGTCGAGACTTCAAGTAAACCAATCAGATTGTACATGACAGGCATGACGGGCATGTGGTACGTTGCACGTGTGTGCCTCTGCGAGTAGACTACGTAAGTAACCTTGTGGATGCCCGGTTGTGCGTTTACGTTTTCTCCGCTGTTGAGTGTCTACTAGAGGCCTCCACAAAAGCCTTCCGTGCCTCTTAGCTTCCGAATAAGGATCTGACGCATCCTTTATTGTGAGCAAAGGGTAGGTGAATTTACGCACATGCCTTGACCACTTCGATAAAAGGAGGTGGTACATTTCTTGCTGCTTGTTGTTAAGCCGTATGGTGATGCGAAGACCTCCAGGTTACCAGTTATAATTGTTGATCGTCGGATTTTTCACAATGGGCTCCGATGAGTTAGAATTGAGATAAACTGCCATTTAGAAGATTCTCCACTTCCTGGGAGCATGCGAGAAAGCGTTCAATTTGGGATCTAACTTTAAAGCCCCCACTCTAAAGCCATGCGAGGAAGAATCGGCACTCTCCACATAGTTAACGCTCCTACGGTATCCACTGTCGGCTACTATTTTTCGACAACGACTGAATCGAATGCGCATTGGCACAGCATTCCAGAAGGGCGATGGATAATGCATGAACGCCATTCGATAGGCAAACGCACACAGCCCAGGCTTGACGCACAGGTGGATACAATAATGGCGTTTAGTTGCAACCCGGGAAAGGCTAAGCCGGATCAGGCTATGTGATGATAGGTTTAACAAGGATTACGATGAGACCGCCTAGTTTAGATGTAGCAGTTCTGTTTTGAAACACGGGCACGCGGCTGTAAGTTGTACTAGAGGAGGGCTCGCGGCAAACCAACCATCTCCCGAGTGTGTTTCACTCAGGAAAAGGGAGGTTCGGCTTATTTACGAGAGCACTGCGGACACAGGCATGACGAAATCGGGGCATTTTGTCGTTTATTCAACTAATTCCTATGAAAGTTCCTCTTCTGCGGTAAATCTGTCAACATAAAGTCGGTAAAATATCCAATTATTCACTCCGATTGCGAATGGCCCGGACGCTTATCCCAGGCAGCCATTTAAAAATTAAGAAATAAATTTGCAGCATCTAAAACATGGTAATCTTTTTGCGAAGCAAAAAACATGACATAAAATCTCCTACTGATTGCCACATTTTCACAGACTTGACAGGGGTCCTTCAGAAGGGATCCAGCCTCACCGTGACCGATGCTGGCCCGATCGAATTCTCCTTTGTCTTCCAGTCGAATTTTTCTGCTGCAGAGATATTTGGTGAGTCAGAAAACCCACTTCCACATCAGGTCAGCCAATGCCGATTTCCTGCTCGCTACTAGGGGGAAGTGCGGAAATGACTGCTTTGCTTGAAAACTAGAGACGCCGCAGTTTATTTACCTACCGTGCTTCGCTCAGGACAGGGTCGATTACCGAAAAGGCCATTACGCCACTGAGTGGACAAGAATCATAATGGCTTACGGCGTAGCCCCTACGCTGCTGCTGCTGCTGCTGCTGCTGCTGCTGCTGCTGCTGCTGCTGCTGCTGCTGCTGCTGCTGCTGCTGCTGCTGCTGCTGCTGCTGCTGCTGCTGCTGCTGCTGCTGCTGCTGCTGCTGCTGCTGCTGCTGCTGCTAGCCAAAAGACGAACTCACCAACTCTAGAGCGACTGTATTGCAGTATCTCAAAGCATAGATGTCCGTATGGCAGAAACGAAAATTACTGAGGCGATATGGCGTGGATATCTGCATTTTCAACGAACGAAACAGGGTTTGGGTGTACTAGGTAAGCGCTACTAAATTTCGTCGTCCCTCATCACCATGGACACGGAAACAGTGAACCAGCTCTCCTCTAAAGTCTCCACTTGCTATCGACCTGACAACAACGGCATTCGGAAAACTGGCAAACTTGCTGTAATTTATGTTCTCACACTCATCACACACTGCAGTGGAAATTAAGTTGCGTTCGCCCACCTCACAAGCGAGTGTATGGCGCCATTATTACGCCAACCGCATAGAGGAGAGATGTCACGCACTTTCGACAGCGCTACTCGAAGCCAGCAGCTACTCCCGTCATGGCTGAACTTTCTGTGTGTGAAATTTGCCTTGGAAAACGTGTGTCTCAGTGTTTGGAGCCACAAGCAAAATCCAACGCGGAGAGGTATCGTGAAGAAGAAGACACGATCGCTGGGACAAGAGCTTTATTAGCCTGACGTTTCGGATTCCTGCTCGAACCCATAATCAGAGACAGTGGCAGATACGCGTAGTTCATGCACAAGGAGCTGCAGTATTTATAGGATGCAGTCGTCATGCCAATGCGTACCTATGAATATTCACGGCTCTCCCCTTCATCAGGGAGCGTTGCCCTTGATGTGATGAATGTTTGATGGCCGACATTAGCGTGGTTAATTGCTGCAATTTCATCACAGGTGTGATGATTGCTCGACCATCTGACCCACCGACCCTGGCGTTGGGACGAGTGTTCACCTGTGCGCTCTCCGTGTGGATAATTACTCCGCCTAGGCGAAGGCTCACGGCTCACGCGGTTGTCCCCTCTTGCGAGAATTTCGGCCTCGTCGAATTTGAATGTGCGGCCGGATCTGGTCGAATGAGCCGCATCTTGAGAGCTGGCGTCATTTCTCCGCACCGCTGCTGCGTGCTCGGCCATTCACGTTCGTAGCTGTCTTCCGGTTTCCCCGACATAGTTACTTTGTCCGCAACTTCACCAGTTCCTTACAAACTTCAAAGACGGAGAAGTATCACTGACGGCGATACGGGAGGCAGGTGGTTGACTTGGTGCTTTGGTCATGGGCCGAAAGATCGCGGGCTCTATGATTAGTGATCGCTCAGTTAAGCCTTGCACCACCGAACAACGGACTCAGGCCTTGTCGACTGCGGTCGGGCATGTGCAAGGTCACCTAGGGGGTCGAAGTTATCGATCGCCCTAAATAAATGGTATTTTCTACCTTGCTCGGTCTCACTCCGAGAGGGCTCGAAACTAGCTGATGACGGATAGCAGGCCAGAAACGTCAATCTCAGTCTCTCCCCTCCTCATCGATAATACTTCTTGAGCACGAACGGCTTGACATTACGATACCGGTCTATGGACGTTCTCGACAGAACCCCACATCCCGTCCTACAATCAGGCCGCAGTTCGCGCCTAGTAAACCAGTCAAACGTCACTGGCTCGTTCATAATTCTCAGTCGCCAGGGTATTTGACTTGGATCGGTCCTCTTCATACGGCTAAAGTCAACCTCCCTGACCGCCCATGCTTTTAACGCAGCCTGTAGGCAGGAGCGAACCAGTAAAACATTGCGTGCGAAATTGATATGCTCTAAACACCTCTTCTCACACCACGGAATTCTTGAATACCACACTTGACGTCTACTTTGTTTACTTCCTGGGACAGTCTCTATCAGGATCACCTGTGGTTGGTAATGTAGCATGGTGGCACGCCGCTAAAATTGCCTGAATTGAATCGTGTTTATTATCACAGGTCAAGTTCCAAAGTTTTTGCGGGTGGAGAGGGGAGAGATTGCTTCAAAGTCACCTCCAACGTATGTTCGCGCTACGACCTCTAGCTGACTTCATTCAGCTAGCTGATCGACTAGGTTATGCAGAAAGAGCCAGTAAACCATTTCGGCCGGCGGTGTCGACGAGCTTGTCTTTTATAGTACCGTGATTCTGATGGGCACAAAGACAACCGAAGTGTGCCTGAAAATGAATTCCCCTAAACGGCAAGGGATAACTTCAATTTTACAGTCACTGATAGCTAAAACATGGTTAACTACGAAACTCTTAGGCTAATGAACAGCCTTCAACAAATTAGGTCCGAACTTCTGATAAAAGACCAAGCCATGCGTGAAAATGACTACCAGATCAACCATATGTGTGAGTGGCCTTCGTTCGACTCCGATGGGATTGCTGGAATCTCCATGCGATCAGTCTGAAAGCGGAGGTGCGAATATGAGCGATTTCTGTCAAGACAGCTCTTCTCTAAGGGATGTGCGATACAGCCCATGCACTCAGGAGACGTCGACCACCTGAATGTATTCGATCGATAGCGCTCGCGCTCCATGCCCCGAATTGGTCTTTCTGATCTCACCTCCAGTCACTCCCGAGAAGAACCGACCAATGTTACCCTCCTTATGGATTGCTCAAGATAGTCTACACTTCCGCCGAGTCCTCTTGATGGCGAAATCGTTCAGGATGTCACGTCGCCCCCAACGTAGTCCAACCTGACGATTGTCTCGAGGTAGCTAGCGAAATACTTGAGCTGACCTGATGAGGGCTGAGCTCTAGCGCATCCCCGACCCTGTTGTCGTTCTTCTCCATGTCTGGCATACCTACTGGTCCATCTTCGCTCGCGAATTTCCTTCTGGTCGCCCCCTAATGAAAGATGCTGAGTTCTGATTTCGTGAACTTACAGTACGGGGTTGGCTAAATCAGTGATGGTAAGTGTTGCTACAAGCGCAAATTGTTACTGCGGCTATTTGAATGGGGACCAACCTTACTGTTATTGCAACGCACTGAACTTCAGACTTACTGGACGCGGCAAAGATGCAGGATTGTCCTAACCAAGGGCTAGTTAATAGTTGATAAAAAAGTCCACTCTTATTTGTGCTACTTTACTGAGCGAACCGCCCTTTTTCCGGCTTTCAGTTAATTCGGGTTGTTGAAATGGAGGTGATTATTGACTGCTGACAGAAACAACCGAACTGGACTTGATATTAAACCGACTCAGTTCTTTGGAGAAAATATTATCAGTCGAGATCGATCCGCGTTCCACTGACCCACGTTTGATGCTGTCTCGACTTACGGTCATGCCGCAATGTTGTGATTTGCCTTTTGGGCTAGAGTAATTACCCCGCGGTAGCATTCCGAGACTGATATGGGAGGGCCTTCCTCCCTTCTAGGTAGAAGTAGAGGAGAGTTTTACGGGATCTCATTTTCGTCCGTTTCCCCAGCAAAAGACTAGCAATCCGAGTGTCACCATCTTTCATGCTATTTTTCTAAATAGTACCGTGCACCTCCACGTTTACGTACGGGCTAACCCAGGTGTCTTGAAAGAGGGGCAGGTAAACTCAGATCATAGTGGGTTGAAAAACTAGTTATGTTGGGGTCAGCGCTGCCATGTGCTAGGCCCTAGCCACGCCTTCCTGAGGAGTTGCGTTGACAGCTATCGATCGATCGATCGACCGATGTGCCCGCGATAGACCGGGCGGGTACATTCACACGGACAACGGCACCCTACGCCCCAGAGGTGCATGCATGCACCGAGCGCTAACTTACGTACGTGTGCCTGTGTGCTCATTAGTCTTCCGATCAAACATCTTTCTTTTGGAAGAAAAGGTGGCGGGCGAACGTTGCTTTCGATACCATCGCGTCATGCCAGTACGGTTATATGGGACGGGGTACAGTGAGTGAAAGTGTAACGCGTCGTTAATTGCTGCAATTTCATCACGGGTGTTGGATGTTGGCGTGATGATTGCTCGACCATCTGACCCACCGACCCTGCCAAACGGCCCGCAAAACCGACCACACGGACGACCGAAAATAAAACGTTGTTCCTCAAAGTCCCTTTGCAAGGAGACGCTGCAAGTTAACTCCTAAGAAGACGCCATGATCAAGCTGTCTCGGGAACCTTCCCAGCAGCAAAGATTCGCACATCATTCTCTACTAACCCTATTTTACGCGGAGAAGGCAAGGATAGGCTGCCAACTCAGACCGCCTCAATGTGCATCTACTCATTCACTTGCTCCTGTGGAACAGGTTATATTGGTCGTAGGAGTCGGCGCCTTTCCAAAAGAATACGAGAACACCTTCCCGCATGGCTGGCAAAAGGTGAAAGTAAGAGAATAAACAGCGCCATCCTTGCGCATGCAGTGGATTCAGGGCATCGTGTGGACCCCGCTGAAGCATTTAGTGTGACTTATAAGGTCCCCTCGAGCTACCCTAAGCTACTGGCCAGCGCCTGCTAGCAACAGCAGAAGCGGCCATCATCATGTTACGAAAATCGACCCAATGCGCCCAGAAGAACCCCTCTCAGGCTCCGCGCTTACCATGGTCAAGGGCTGACTAACCAACGTACAACTTTCTGCGCTCTTCCGCTCTTGCCTAGCCTGTATGTTAAAAACTAACTCATCGATTTTTTCACTCACTGCACCCCGTCCCATATAACTCTACTGGCCTGACGGGAAGTTATCGAAAGCAACGTTCGCTCGCCACCTTTTCTTCTGAATATAGCTATGGGGATTTTCACAACCTTTCTATTAACTTTTTTTAACTGGAGCCAACGGGAGTACCGCATCGTTGAAACGTGGATCTAGAGGGCGGCGGTCTTTACCGTGAAGTCTGCGTCTGCCTCAGAAGACGGAGGAGTCCAAAGTCAAGAATATGACTGTTCCCTTGTATGCAGTGTGGTTAAAACTCCGATGAGGTAGCCGGACTGTCAGTTTCCAGACATTTAGGCAAGAGGCAGTCAATTTTGGGCGTGTCCCAACGGTTTTGTAGAAAAAGGCATCATTCATAGTTTACCGAAAAGCAGCACATTGCGAACTCCAATTTTCGACGTGAAAGCTGATGATGTGCAAAAAAAATAACTATCGGCGGTTTACCCGAGAAGGCGACATCTCCAAGAGTGCCGTTCACAAAACACCGTTTCAGAGTTAGGCTTCAGTAATGTGGACCAGAAGGAAGGATTCTCTTTTCAGTTTTGGCCGTTAGGGGGGGAGCAATTCAGCGGATCCTCTTCACCGAATCTTGGGGTGCAGTGAACCCGCACTGTTTTTTTTTCGAGTCGAGGATATAATGCTTCGACGACCATGGCTTGGGCCGTAACAAAGGTCAACTAACTCAGCTTTACACTAAAGCAGTCCTGTAGTCAGCCGTCCCAGTACGAAGTGGTTCCTGCGCTAGTCAGTCTTGTGTTAGATTGCTATGAGTCTGTTTTGCCATTCATGGCTGCCTCAAAAAGTGGTCCTTCTGTACTTAGTTTCATGTTTCTTTCAACCCCCCCCAAAACGGGCCACTCGGTAGACGCGCTGGACCAACACGGGAGCAAGAGGCGGGTGGTAGGCGGTCGGCGACGGCAAAGGTTTCCAACTTCCCACTGTCTGTCATCATGAATGCTACAGCTGCTTTTCTAGTTTGCTTGCAACTTCGCGTCCACCAGTCTGAAAACTAGGTCATCCACTTCCTGATCCTTTGCAAAACAGGTTCCCTCTCCCTGAAATGTAATTTGTAATCCTGTCAATGCCTCCTCCGTGAGTAAATGCTTGTGGCCGTAAAACTGACCTCACGGTAGCTGCCCTGAACCAACACGGGGCCAGATGAGAGTCCGGCTGGCTTTATCGGGAATGCGCATCCATAACAAGTGCCAATACTGGGGTGTGATGGCAGGCCTATGTGCAGGCTCGCGCCGCACCAATTAGGATTCCAGCTGCCTTCTTTTTTTCTTGGTGTGTAAAATCCTGGCCAGTCCACGTTGTAGACCAGGGGGTGTGGTGGTACGCCTAGGCGCGAGTTTACGCCGTGCCAGCCACCTACCTCCTCTCCTACCTCCAGTCTTCTTAACTCTTTCTTGGCACCGAGTCCAGGTAGGATAAGAGGAGAGAGTGCGGTAGATGCGGCGAAAGTCTACTAGCATTTTAAAATAATTCACCCGCAAGCCACCGTCCCTGCTCTCACCCTGTAGTGGAGCATCGTCGGTCACGACAGTCAAACTGTCGGGTGAATGCCTGCACTTTTCTGATAGCGTTTGTGCTTTTCAAATCAGCCTGCTAGACCATTCCTTCACGCTTGAGGCAAAAACAAAGGACATTTCGCCCCCCGAAGAGTTCGTGATTAGTCAGTTTAACTTTCTGGGAAGGCGAAAAAGAAGAAGAAGCCATGTTGCCCTTTTTTAACGCGCAGATAAAACGTGCGCAAACTATACCGCGTAGGCGGCGTACGCAGGGAGCGCTAGTCAGGACCTGATGGGGGATGCTAAGCGTGTAGCAACAAGAAAATTTTACGCAACACCTAGTGCAGAGCTGACGGCTGAAACATGCCTCGCGAATCTTCATCTGGTTGTTTGAATTATTCAAACAACTTCTTTTCCACCCCCGAGGCATCTCTGAGTGTGGGTGTTCGTATCTGCAAAGTGATTTTCCGAAGCTGAACGCATGTGCCTGAAGATTTGGCACCTCCTGGAACACG